TTTTCACATTTAATAACGTATTTTGGAGATTGTTCCCTATCATTTCCTAAGCAGTTTTATACTTGGATTGGCAACATCCATTGGGTGTATCATATTTTGCTTAATTAGTTACTTTTTGAGGTGTGTATATCCTTGCATATATGTTATTTCACACGTTAATACACATACAGGATTAATTCCTAATAGTGGAAATACTGGTCACAGGCTCTGCATTAGCAATTTTGATAGATGGTTGTACTGGTTTCAACTTCCACCAGCTATAATTTGAAAGTAATGTGTTTTTTGAGTCAGAGAATTTGTACTTAGGAAAACCGTCTACATGTCAGAATGTCTCATGAAACAAAAACTCATTGGGCCAGGATCCTGGTAGTCACAACTACCAATTTAAGAGAAAATCTGTGATCATGAGTGAATGCATGATATGAAACGTTGAGGGGAATGAGGGGGACAACGCTGAATCAGGAGGAAGTAGGAATGAGAAATGACACTGAGGGGTCACTGCATGGGATTTAATCCTGAGCACAATGCAGTTAGATAGGTGCCACTGTGCCTGCTTTACAGTAGAAGAACCCAAGACTTTTGGATAACAATCCTGTGTGTTTTGACATCTGGAATTAACTAGTTTTACAAACTCTGAAAGGATGGGCAAGGCTTTGATTTCCAAAGCTGGTTTTGCCATGGAAATACCCACGAAAAACATCTTGTCTCACAGTGGAAAGAGGTCAGAAGATCAGTGAACACATTGTCATTGGCACCCCTGGGACTGTTCTGGACTGGTGCGCCAAGCTCAAGTTCATTGACCCTAAGAAGATCAAGGTGTTTGTTCTGGATGAGGCTGACGTGATGATAGCTACTCAGGGCCACCAAGACCAGAGCATCCGCATCCAGAGGTAGGAACTCTTGAGCCAAGAGGAACGTCTGTCTTCTGACTTTCAAGTAAAGATTTTCTTGTTCACTGTGTTTCTTCCTGCTGTATTTAACTCCTCTTCTTTCTCCATCTAGGTTATTTGCTTTTAGGACCTTCAGGAGCATTTTTTGGATGGGCCATTTGCTCACCAGCACTGATCACGGGTTGAGGAAGGAGACTTAGGGAATCTAACACCAGCCCCC